CCAACGAAAGACGAAAGGAAGATCTTCTAGATATTAAATTAAATTAATAAATATATCAAATCATGTGAATATGACTGAAAATTTTATTTTTTCTGAAAAGGTGGTGTCTATTTATTTGTGACCACGCTGTGTATACTCTTTTATTCACCGCTAACAACGTAAATATTTCAGATGGTTTTATAACATGTAATATGCTGTCACAAACAATCATTCTTTATTATTCAGCGGACTAATTGGTTACTTATTTAAGCAGTTAGTCATCTGAATAATCAGGGATAATTAATTGTAATGGTATGTCACATGCTAGCTAAACACCTGAAGTATTTTAGGTTATTAGTGGTGGGTAAAGGCTAAACATCAAAAACAAATAAATTATTACTAAGTATGTAGTATTCCATCAGGCCTGAAGAGCCTTGTTATTTGGTGAAAGTCTTTGTTCTCACTGTATACAGCGGGTATAGTGATTTACATATTATTAAACATCGATCTTTTCATTAATTCCGAAGGTTTTATTAATAATTCATACGAAAAAGCAAACGGGACATATTGAGCAAACTGAAATATTTTGATATAAAGTTAAGGATTTATATCTACATATACTTCGTTTTTAAGCATGCAATTAATTTGCATTTCTCTGCATTTGTATTTCACCTTCCGGATACGAAGTTGTTTCAACAGCATGTCATGAAACTCACTGCAGCTGTGGACAAAAAAGTTGTATTTGGTGCTGAACAATGACTCCAGAGTGTCAGCTTTCAGCTGTGTTTTATTGCTTGTCCATGTTTTATTCATATAGGATAATGTACAATAAATCACATTATTCATTGACACTTCCCTGATAAATTTTAAAAAAAACGAAAACAGCTGGCTATCTTTCTAAACTCTTACAAGGACGAAAGAACACGTTAAGGAAATATTTCTATATCAGTAGGGTTACTTTACAGCTAGAAGTGGTTTAAGTTGTGAATTTCTTTTTTAAAAACGTGGGGATTTTCTGGGACACGAATAAAAAAAAGGGAATAAAAAAATGGTCACATTGTATATATATATATATATACGTACATTTATTTTAATTTAGATCATTGCAATAAAATTAGAAAGTATATGGAAACTTTAATAAAACAAAGCTTTTCTATTTGTTTATACAGCGTTGGTAGTACATTTTCTGCAGCATATTCTAATCCAGCATCGGTTAAACGTAATTAAGCCTACCCTTAGAAATCGATAACATATTTACGCATTTCCTTCATTTAAAACATCTAACTTGTTGCGCCCCCTCTCGAGCTTCTTTGCAACATTCAACCATCATGTAGATAATAGTGTGTTTGTGAATGAAGTTGAGTTTCTGTGAATGGAAGGAATTCACTACTACAAGTAAATTAGAACATGAATTAAACATCTGTAGTTTATGACTAAATCATTTATTAAGTAGATATAATAATTATATATTTTACTGCCGTTGTTAGTGCATTAGTTTCGTTGAATGAAAGTTTGTAAAAAATCTTACTAGGTAAGTTAAATAAGGGTAAGTTAACGTATACTATAGTATAGTCCGTAAACAAACGGTGAAATAAAAATTAGGGTTAACGCAAACTACAAGAGTACAACTATCCGTAACATTTGGTTCAGGCGGAATTTCTTTATCTTTATAGTATTTGGATGTTTATTACTTTTCAAATCCTGCTATGACTAATAATTTTAATAATTATATTGAGCTTTTGCAGTGCAAGTTAAGGAGTAATTTCAATTCTTGGTAAAGCTTTCATGTTCGGTAAAATAAACATATTTACAGGAGCAAGTGTAGTTTTTAATTATTTGATACATAATATTAATACATATATACAGTATAAGCTAATATAACCAAAAAAGACGTCTCCACTTTAGCATAACTTCGTGAAACTTTCTCAAATTCGAAGTTATTCTTTCATCTTTAGTTTATTTAAACCACTTAATTCAATAGAAACATCACACCTTTAATTTTTCATGACAGTAGTTATCATATAATATTAATAGGTGCTTCAGAAAATTTTTGAATTATCGCTGTATAATTGTCATGTGGTGAAATGCAGAAACATCTTTTAAGCCTTGTATTTTTAAAGATAAAAAAATCTTGTTTTATTCTGCAGTTGTAAAATATTCAAAATTTAGTGTAAAAAAATAAAGCTTATATTAGTATGTTTAAAAATAATATTAGTAGCTTGGTGAATCATAAATAAGTTGTAAATTAACTTTATTTCTACTGAAATACCTTTAGTAGATTAAAATCTGGTGCACTACTAAAATAGTATAGACACTATCAATATTTATAAATTTGAAATACATAAAATTACAGGATGAAGTGCTTAATATGAATAGTACTTTTTTTTTTTTGAGAAATCAAATATTTTGTGCAATGCAATATTTATTTCTAATTTGTTTGTTTTTTAACACAATCAGTACTGATGTAGAATTTTATTAATCAATAAAGTTTTATTATTTTAAATGGTTTTATTAAATACATTTATTACTAACCATCATGTTCAATATAATTTGATGTGAAATAATTTTTGTTTCACTAAACAAATATAATTTTAAATGGGTAGATAAAATTTCATTTCAATAGTTAATGTAAATGTAGAATGAATTAACTTGGATTGTGTAATTAGTATGAGCTTCGTGCAACTGGAAAGACTTTTGATGATGGTCACAAATGCAGGAGACAGATCTGTAATGTCACTTTTATTAGCATATGACAGGCCTTGGGATGTTCTATACTAATTTTAAATTTGTTTACTTTGAGTAATTTCATACCAATGTACTTGTAAAGGTTAATAAACTTTAATAAAATTAACTTTTTCAAGATCATCATGCCTATGCTGTTGTTCTCTTCTCTGAAATTTAGCAGCTCTCACCTTTTGTGAATGCTATTTTCTGTGTATAACAGCTGAGAGTGATAAATATGACATCAGTTATGCAATTTATTTATTTGATATAATTAACCAGAAAATATATATGAGAATTTTTTTTATATCTTCTTTTAAACTGTTCTCAATTGGAAGAGTAATGACTTTTTTAACCTAATTTTTACAGTGAGTTGGTAAACCCATTTTATACAACTGCTATGATATAGTTTATTAACATTATCAAAAGGTGTCTTTGTAGTTCTTGTGCTTTAGTAGAAGTTTGTATGTGTTAAATAGTTTGACAGTGAGAATTTTGTAGGTGTTTTAGGGCTGCTGTTGTGAAATTGCTAATACACATCAATAGTGATACATCCTGAAACTAATTTATAGGTGATTTACTGTTAGTGGCTGAATACTATATCAGTAAAGAATCTTGGAGCTTTTCTCTCAATTTACTAATAATTAAGTATTTGTAGAAACATTAAATGAGATATTTTTCTAATAATCACAAAAGTTAATTCTAGAAAACTTCCTAACAGTTTAGATGTAAAGCAATCATTTTATCTCTGTAGTAACAGCAGAATGTAATATTACTATATCAGATGGCAAAGAAAAAAAACCTTGAAAGAAAATTCCAGTAAATTTGCCTACCCAATAGCAAATCTGTCTTATTGTTTAATCCTTACGAAAAATTTACGTATAAAAATTACATTTGACATAATATCATGGTAAACTTGTGAATATTACAAGAAAGGATTCATATATAATAAAAGCTTTGACTGTATGGCCTTTTCAAAGTTGTTTTGTATGGGTAAACATATTGCTAGAGATAGGAAAAAACATCTCAAGAAAAAGTTTGATTCATTTGAATTAACACTTTATTCCATCAAGTGGGATTAACATTGGCTGAAATGTTTTAATAGAGTAGTAGATAAGCATAAGAATTTAAAACTTTGGGGTTTTATGTTTAGAATTGTTTGGTAAATCCTGTCATTACTATACAATTTTTATGAATCACATAAAGGTTTGAACATCTGAATTATGTCATCCACAGGTTAACAGAAGTAAATCTCTAGAATTCACCTAGATCTAGTTTCAATGTTTTTAATACCTAATCTCATTACTGAAAAAAACAAAACATTCCATAATTTAGGGTTATACATATAAATATTGAAATGAAATTAGATAATAAATAGTTTGTGAATTTATGAAATCTATGTGGGAGTTGAATTTTGAGCTTTTTTTTACATGGTGGTGGTGTAAGATAAAGCTGAACAAAAAATATGATAATTATAATAATAAAATACAGAAATTGTGGTTGCTCTGGAAAGAAAAAATCTGCAAACAAAAAAACTGGCCTTTTCTAATTTTTGTAAATTTTTATTTTTTCATTCAACTAGATGAGTAAGGGACAGAGAATTCATGTTTTCAGAACTATAGTTTACTAGTCTGACACAATGAACTGTAAAAAAAAAAATTGTCATGGTTTAGATTGGTGTAAAGGCTTTTGTCTGAATTATCACAACTTTAAATACAGTTTAAAATTTCTTAAGATTACAAAACTACACAATTATAACTGTGAACTGAGACAGTTTTGAGGTAAACTTTATGTCATTGGATTTAATATAGAAACAGCAGGAAAGGGAAATTGTTTTTAGTAAAACAAGCCATGTTTTTTAGGTTGTTACACAACTCTACATTTGAATTGTTAATGTAAACTAAAAATGAGCATGTACTAGGTGAAGACTGGGTATCCTGACTGCCCACTGATACTGTTTAGTAATTTGAACATCAAAACGTCAAATGTTCATAATAGTCAAATATTAGAAATGAGAGAAGTTTAAGCCTTGTGGGAAACAGTGGGTAAGTTTTTCATTTATTGAAAATGCTATCCTTATTAAGATGTAACTGACCCAAAACCAATAGGAGGAACTTTAAAGAAAAATAGATAGAAACTTAATTAATGTCATTGTTGCTAGAAAGTGATAATGAATGAAGGCAGAGATCAGTCACATAATGAAAACATTGGCATTCTTATAGGAAAAATGAAAAGACAGATAATCTCAATTATTTCTTGAAAAAATGATACAAGGTGTTCACCAGTCTATTGTTTTTTTGGTAAATTTTATTATTTTAATAAGTATTTGCTTTTTATTCTCACTTTTAATTATTGTTAAAGTGGTATTGTAGTTTTTTTTGCTTTTGTAACTGATATTTTTATATGTTGTATTATTGCATCAAAGTAGCTTTGAAGTAATATTTTGGTGGCTTTTGTTCAGGATTTATTGTTTCATAACCATTAAAAACAAGAGTAAAGTAGGAAATTAACATTGATGATAACTTGTTTGTTAATGCTGTGCTAAAATAAATTACATCCTTCCTAATCTCTTGTTTAATGTATAAGAGTTCAGTGATTATAGTTGAATTTTTTTATGCATATAATTAATTTCTAATGAGATGTTTTGATAGAAGCCACACATGTATCATTTAAACTTATAATTTCATAATTCTCTCAAGCAGGTTTTATAATTAATACACAGAATGTCAGAAGACTTGATTGGTAGTGAGGATGAGCCAGATTATTCAGTTTTTGAAAACAAAACTGGCCTAGCAGAAGATATGAAGTTTCTGGCAAGTATGCCAGAGCTGTGTGACGTTACCTTTTTAGTGGGAGAGACACGGGAACCAGTTTGCGCTGTGAAGGCCGTCCTAGCAGCAAGAAGCAGGTATTGTAGTTTATAAAAATAAATCGAAGCTACAAACTGAATCAAAAGTTATTCCTGATGTGCTTCTCTTTTGATTAGATAAGACATTTATAGATATTGATGATTTAAATCCATATAATTGTAAAGACAAATATTAACAATTACATTTCTCTGTTAACTATTGCGAGGGATTTCTGAGAAAATATCAATGTGCAATTTTAGATTATGGGACTGCGGCTATTAAAATGAAGCTTATTTTTAAATTGCTAACTTGCATTTTGTTATAAAAAAGGAAACTTCCTTTTAAGGTCTAAGTTTTCAAAATGTGTGTGACAAATGGTCAAACTGTGGTGTCATTATTGGTCATCCTATCTTGTATATAAAATGGTATCGTAGGTGCATATGGACCATCTTTACTATTCTGTTCCCCCCAAAAAATTTATATACGGGGATATGTTTTTGTAGCATCATTGTATTTGCATATATGCAAAATTGTATGCTTTTAATCTTCTTTGCTTAACTTCATCCATATGAAAGCTATACCAATGAATTGCAGGTCAAAATAAAACTGAAAACAAAAAAGTAGCTGTATTTCTTTCTTGTGTGCTACTCATTTTTAGGTCAGTTTCCTTAAACACATTTTAGATATGCATAAATTACAATATATTGTAAATCAACTTATTTATTGTTTACTAGTATAGACAGAAAATCTTAATAAATGTTTTCACAAATAAACTTTTGCTTTAATTTGGGAAACCAGAATTTAAATATAAATTCCAATTTTGAAAGACTTAATTTCAATTTAAGTTTGATATTGTCCAGGATTTTTCACCTTGGGTGAGTAACACTCTAACTAATGAGTAAATTTGTTGAAAGACTCGACTAGTTGTAGGGATTGATAGAAACTATGCTGACTAAACTACCACCATTTAATAGCATAGGAACATAATGTCTTCTGCATCATAATTAAGGCTTTGGAGGCCATTGTAAGTAAACAAGTTTGTTGCAAAACATACAGAAATTTTTGATGTAAAAATATGGGTTTGTATGAGTACTTTGGAATATCATTACATGTGTTTAACGGAAATGCATTTGGTGTATGGAAATGCTCTTGTATATACTCTATTTAATGAATGTGTATTTTTATGAGGGTATATGTGGAATTCTGTAACCCATAACAGCAGGATTATCATCATTACTCATCTGAAATAACAGGTATAGTATTACATACAAGTTTAGTCATGACATTTATTTGTTTATAAACCCAATAGTTTGTTAGCCCTCAAGTAATTTGTTTAGAGCCCTAATTTAAAATTCAAATTTTAAGAACTACAACGATTTCTGCTATGTGTTCCAATTCATGTTTTTCTTTGTAAACTGCAAACAACTCTTTCATTATATGCTATGCCCTGAAAATAATAATAACATCAAAAACATTGTAACTATTTGAACTTGCAGTTTTAAACCATTCAGATCATTTTAAGAAAGTTGTAGATGATATAAAATAATCTAGTTCTGAAATTAGTTTAATTCCTAATGAATAAACCTTGTTTTTGAAAATAATTTTGTTTTAAGAAATAGATACAAAATCTTGTTAATATTAATTATCTGGCTGACAGAAGATTTCCAAAAAATAAAGAAAAGCAAAGTAAAATAACAAAAAGTAAGTTCAATTTAAAACTGTAAAAAAAAATAAAAGAAGAGTAGAATTTGAGAAGAAGAGGATCAGGGCCAAATGCTGATTATTTATCAATTATACTAATCTAAAATATTGTTTAGGTGAAACAGCAGTGGCATATTTACTATTATAGCTTCAACACTGTAGATGACAGTTTTGTGTATTGCCTTTCTTTATATAAAAATAGTATAATTATATAGTTATAATTTTTTCCATAAAAACAAATTATATTTCAGAGTGTTTCACAAAATGTTGTATGGACAACAACAACAAACTCTGCGAGAAAATCCACAAAGAAAACGAGAATCAAGCAAAGAAACAAAATTAAAGCTATTCCTTAAAAGAAGCAGTGAGCCAATATTGAATATTCAGTTTCCCCAGGTAAGTACATTTTATTTTACCTAAATACAGTTATATGGTACTCTGGATACATATTATATTATGAAATGTATTGTTGTAACACCCTTAGAGAAAGGGTTTGTATGTTTTGTTGCTGGTTTCCTAAATGTGGTTCTCATTAGAAGTTTGATTCCAACTTTTTCCACTAACTTTTCATCTGATGGAATATATACTGCGACTGTTAAAAAACTTATTTAAATGTGTAATGGGTTTTTGAGGCCTTTCCTTCTCTCAGGTGGTTTTCCAAAGTTTGAGATGGATTCAGATTGGTGGGCTCTGGAATGGCCAAAGCAGATTCCAGACTTTTTTTGTGTGTGTGTACATCATGGTACTTTATAATTAATAAAAGGTGTGCTTCTTCCATAAACTGTTTCACTAGTGCAAACTGTGTAGCGGTGTTTAGAATATTACAGTGACAAAGCATTTATAGCTTCCTTAACTATTACTGGGAAACAAAGTTGAAACTAGCTTAAATAAACCCATACCATGACACTACTCTTACCACTCTTAAGAGTTAGGATGACACACCCACATTCAAAACATTCTTCATGCTGCTGTTGGACCAGTAGTGGGAGTTATTATTCTACACTATGATTTTTTGTTGTTTTCCCATCAAACCAGTTTTAACTCTCAAGGATTATTAGAGCTGATACCTTGCACCACATTTATGATAAGTTGCTTTTGGGTTGCATGTAACCTGTCTGTTAAATCACTAGCTACATTTGCTTAGTGGCTGTGCTCAGTGGCGTAGCAAGGGTTCTCAGCACCCAGGGGGCAAAGACACTTTTGGTGCCCCCACCTCTGAAATGTTTTGATTATTTGTATTGTGACTCATTACCCACTTAATGACAATAACATAAAAAATTAATTACCGCCTTACACAGGCCTAAAATAAAGTCACAATATAACATCTCACGATATTACAACTGTAAACCTGAAACTAATGAAGTATAGCCTACTAGGTGTACTTACATAATTTGTAAACCATTTTGATATTTATGCCATACAGTATTGTTGAAAGTCACATAGCTAAAGTAATCTTTCAAGCATGCAGAATAAATTTCTGTTCCCCTCGACGTGGATTCCTGTACGTGGTGAGGGGACCTCCCAGGGAAGGTTCTGTGCGTGGCGACCCGTGAAGGGGAGGAGAGGATCCTGGTGGTTGAGTGGTGTCTGGGGCACTGCAACACACCACTTTGGCCTTGAATTCCTGTAGATGGGTGGCCCCCCTAGGGTCAATCTCGAGAAGGCC